AAGTTTTTAACATAAAAAAAAGCCAGCACTACCAACAGTGCATAACAAAGGTATGAGGTGTAACCTCATGGTTTTCAGGAGGCTCATGCCTGAGCTAGGTTGTCCTAATTGCCTAGGACGTATCAAGGCGGTGCCAAGAGGCTTCCAGGGAGGACAGGGAACCTGTCAAGGACAGCGTGCCATGGCGTTGGGACTCTTCCCAGGGCTTTTTGTGGCAAGAGAATTCAGAACCCACTAACCCTGCCTGCTCCCCGGATGGGTGTGTCTGTGAGCGTTTTGTGGCAGCTAAGAGCTTCTTGGTGATTACTGGCTACAGGAAAAATTACGTCCCTTTTAAGCTGTGAGCAGCCAACAGATGACGGCACATACGTACCCGCACCTCAACCCTGTACTGCTGCACTTTATAGCAAAAAGTCCCACTGATGTTATGCAGGGTTTTGACTTCACACTGGGAGACAAACTGTGTGCTTGTACCTTCCTGATTGTGAGTTGCAGGTTGAGTAACTTAGAAGAACGCATAATTTTCCTAATACCTGAAGAAAGAAAAAAGTCACCTCTTTCTTCTCTGAGCTAAGAATCATTCACTTCTGTACTGACAACAAAATAGCTTTAAATTTGAAACAAGAAGCCACAGTGGAATGAAACTCTGTAAGGGCTCTGTGATCTAAGGGCTCCTGAGGAAGCCATTGGAGAATGGAAATCGTAAGACACAGGCTGAATAACTTTAATTATATTTTCCGCCTCTGCATCTCAGGAGACAATGCCTCTCTTTTATGTAAACCTTCTTTAGCTCAACTCACACATGTTCCCTGCCTTTTATCTGTTAGGAAACATTCTTTCCAGTTTGCAAAAAACCCCAATATGCTCGTACGTACTTCTTCTGGCAGCTATTTGTTGCCATATCTACAAAAGCTGAGACCCATGATGCCTTCTGGAAGCTCACTTCCCTGGACTGCTTTCATGTGAGGTTGCCCTTTTTTACCAGTGATGAGCACAATGAACCTGCAGTATTAAGACCTAAGGGCTGCTTGCTTTGGCTTAGTGCAATGAACAAAGTATAAGTTGACATCAAACTGCAATGATCAAAAGCTGTGAGCACAGAAGAGCAGCTTTGGGGAAAGATGCAAGTGTCATAAGAGAATTGATCCAGTGGTTTGTGAAGCATGGAAACTAGCTGTCAGGATTACTGTGCAGTAAGTAGAGCGAGGGAGGAGCAGGTAACAAAAATCAAGTGTCTACACACACACAGTTTTTTTCCCACTAAGGCAGATGGACTATATCTTGGCTGCAATGAAAGATTGCCTCTGGAGCAGCCCAACATGGCGTGCTTTGTGTCTTGCTTATGCCTATATCCCTTCTGGCCAGATATCTCCCTCGGGGATACACAGCAAATGTGCCTGGCAGCCTACCGATAGCCAGGAGCAAAACTTAAGTAAATGCTCTGAGCTACAACGTTCCTGAGAGTAGCTGACCCTGAGCCCTGGCTGATATAATCACACCTCGGTGATACTTACTAGTGATTTTGCCTTCCGGAGCTTATAATGTCCACAGGCTGGTTTCTTTTTTTTCTCGGCTGCCTGCCGGCTAAGGTCTGGGGTCTCCGCTCCTCCTTTCTTTCTCCTGCAGAGTAGAACAGAATTAGCATTAACAAGTGCAATGGAGTTGGTTCCCTGAGGTTGAGAAGAAGAAAATCACTTACGATATGCCACCCAAAAAAGATACGATTTAAGCTAACACGCCTGGGGCAGACCAGGAGCACACAATCAGTTACTGTGGCTCAGAGGAGGACGGTAACCTGTTGTTTTTTAAGCTACTATAACCTTACTGCACTCAAACACGTGCCCTTAGCTTGAGGCTTACTCATTTAAGCTAAATCGACATAACCAACTTTACATCAACTTAAGGGAATTCACAGAAAGGCAGGTACCTGTTGAACTAAAGCTATTTGAGAATTTTTAGTTCGGCCAGCGTAACTTGTAACATAACTAAGGCTAGAGGACTGCCCTTCCAATAAGTTATTTATTCATCGTTTTTACAGCCAAATACTTTTTCTTGCATATGTATATGTACATACATTGGTATGCAGCTATTATTAAAGTCAATATATTTAACTGGAAGAACAGGAATATTCCAGAGTGTGAAAATAGGTGAAGTACACTGGAATATGGCCTGCTGACATGCTATGCCAATATCAGGAGTGAAATCAGTGATTATGAGAAAGCTTTTTTTTAAGAACTCAGACAAGCTCAGAAACACATTTGCTCTGAAAGTGTTCATTCCCCTTCTACATTCAAATTCTGCAAATAACAACACATAATTTTACAGAAGTAGTAAATTTAAAGCACGGATTCAGTGTGTTCTCTACACTCATCTACTAGCTCCATCGCCAGAATTTCTGGTCTCCTGGAAAGCATGCTAAAACGCACATTATGAATGCAAAATCATGACTATATGGGAGAGAAACTGACTTTAAAAGTAACATTAATCCCACAAAGAAACAGGACCACACGTATAACAACCCCAAATCATCCAACACCATTACAGATCTGGTATTCTCTAGTTCCTCACCAGCTGCAGATCAAGATCCTCAAAGACAAATCAGATGCACTATTTCAAATAGCAACTCAAGGAAAATTGCAACCTGTTTATAAACACTTCACTAACAGCCAAGAGAGAAAATTCGATCCAAAATATTATTATAGGGAATGATATGGTCATCTCTAGACAGAACACAGTCCTTTCTGCCAGAAAGAGTTGCCATAAGGAAGGTTCTCCACTAGTTACAACTGGGAGTGTTGTACTGGGTTGGGGAGTGGTTCTGACGCTGTTCTTCGGAGGCCAGTGGCAGCATTGACATAAGCCTGTTCATTTCGAAAATTAAAAAATGGAAGTATTTATGAAGACAGAAAATACTGATACCCTGTCAAACCAGTGCTTGTGGTCATAAATTAAAAAATTAACCTCAAAGTGCTCTACAGCCATATGCTAATGTGCATGGGCATGGTGTCGAGCATCCCTCTGCAGCAGATCATCAGGTTCTCCCGCTTCAAGGTCAGGAAAATACACGCAGGGAGGGATGAGTTTCTCGAGGCTGCAGAGGAAGGCTGCGTCACAGCTGAGATGAGAACGGCAGGTTTCGCACTCCCAGGGCTGAATTCAGTGTTTCTCACTCACCCTGCTTTTCTCTCTTAAGGAATGTTTTGAGTTCCCACAAGCCCAAAGAGCGTTGGGCTGGCTATTCAGAAACATGAAAAGCAAGAGGCAAGTGTCAGGCTTCAGAAGAACAGTGAAACACCATGCCCTTCTCACGCACACCATCCCCTTTTTGTAAGAAACTGGGCCTAGGCTGCTGACAGAACAATTACGGAAAGTAATTATTTTCTCGTTGGGTAAACACACCAGTACAATCCGCAACTGTTTTTAGAGCCGGCCTATGTCCATAAATTATCTAACTGAATTAGTGCTGCCTTCTAGAAGCCAGAACTGGTTGGGGGGCGGGGGGGAAGGAGCTTTCATTTTGTTGTCATGAGAAGTAGCAGGGCTCTTTCTTGAGGCACAGGGACACAAGCTTGGCAGGGGTCCAACGCTCAGATCAGAATTCTTTATCCACGATAAGGTGGGAGGCAAATCTGTTGATTTATTGGCAAAGAGCAGCACAAACACCAGATGCCTTCCAGCAGAACCGCACATGCAGGGTGAAAGAAACACCCCTCCTGTTCCTTTCCAGGCAGACTCAAGTTCCAGTGAACCCAGAGAAAATTTGCTAATCTGTTCCACATTTAGATAAAAAAGGTTTCATTTCTCCTTTGTAATATTGCTTTGCATCCCAGAACAGACAAATCCATCCTTGTTGCTCTCTTATTTTGTTAGTACCCAAATGGAAAACTACCTGGACAGTTCAGGCAGAAAACAAAACAGACCTAAGTGAAATCACCCTTATGATAAATTGCCCAAATACGTACAGCAATGCTGTAAGTCACAGCTGTAATTCTGCCAAGGGATTTTGATAACCCCTTCCAGGCAATTCGTAATTCAACCCCTGCCTGCATCTTTTTTCTTCTGTGCCTCCTCTGCCTTTCCTTGACTATGCATCTGCTCACTGCTCTTCTTAATTTCATTGCTCAGTGGCTATTAGGCTTCTTCCACATTATCCTACCTAAACCAAATAGCCCGAGTGAACATACTCAAGGATTTCTGTCCCATCTCCTTCGTAAGCTACAGTGATGTTCCTTACTGCAGCTCCTAGATACCATTTTGCTTTCAAATACAGGTTCATGCCCTTATGAGCAGGCAGCAAAAATGTCTATCAGAAAATACATTCAAGTCTCAATTATTGTCCAGACTGCAGATTAACTCTGTCGTGTCGTTCTTCAGACACCACCCGGCTGTGGCACAACGTTATGGTTCTTCTGCTCCCCAATGACATGAAGCACCAGCACTGTCCAGGCCAAACAACTCGCCTAGTCGCTCTACAGAAATCTATTTATTTGTTTTTCAAAGCTAAATACCCCAAGTATAGTCTTATGGCCCACAGGACATGTTTTCTGTTATGTGTTTTAGGACTCCCTTCGACTCTACTCCCCAGAGTAATTGAGAATTGACTTTAGCTTGTTATGCTTCCCATGTTTCACCTCTCTGGCTAAGTAAGGATAAGTTCACCACTACGGCTTCATAGCAGTGTAGTTTCGGTACCGCTGAGGAAGGGAGCATGTTAGCTACTGATTCCTCTGAAAAGACCAACACAGAAACAGGTGACAACTCCATCATTTAAATGATATTTATGCTGCAAAGTTAGCACCATATTATGATGAATGGGAGGGTTCCTGCCTCTCTTTGGACTAGGGAAGTATAGAGTGAGGTCCTGCAAAGGGAAGATTTTGACAAAGTACAAGAGCTAGGAAAAACTTCATTTTTTTGGTTACCTCTTAAATTCTACAGAATTTAACTTGACATTAGGCGGATTAACTTTGATTCAAAGAAGCAGCCAGCGACTAGTCTTACACATTACTTTGATGACGGCGTCAGGCATTCCTTTGATGTAACTCTGTTTATTCACAAAGAATTTTCTACAAGTCCTGTTTCCTTCAACACAGCAGAATTCAAACAGAAAAAAATAGTTTCTCTGCTCACAGCTTGCCAGTCAACCTGCTGGCCTATGAGTGCTCTCTCTAGACCTCCCCTTTCAGCTACCACTTTGGTTTTCTGCTGCTTCTTTGGTAGTTCTGCTGTATCTTTTCGCACACGCTCAGGACGTGCCACAAGAAAATTTTTGTTCCTCTTTATATGCATTCAGACCACAACAAACCTCATTTGCCCCTCCAGACTACAATACTCTGTGTTTTGGGAAATCACTCCTATTGTTTTATATCCTTTTATACTGATTTCATTGCTTTTGACATTTATTTTACAGGTACAGTGGATGTTATGCCCTTGAGCGCCAAGAAGTCATCTGACCCGAAGAATAACTATACCTAAAACAGCCTAGGGAGGCAGAGATTTTTATCTTGATTCTCTGTTCTACTTTGCAACCCTGTACGCCATGGTCTGCCTAAGCCAGTTAGGTTGGGGTAAGATCAAACAGCTTGCACAGCGTTCACAGCGTGGGGAGACCTAGGTTGTGTATCGATGGTAATGCAAGGGCAAAGTGGTCAGAGTCCCCCTCTGACCTAGGTCTGCCCATGCCATCCATCAGCTGCTGCTGCCACCTCCACCAAGACCTTGCACTTTGGGAAAGCCCAAGAGTGGAAGGTGGTGTCTCACTGCTCCTGCTGTGCACAGGGGAGAGGGTGAAGTACTGAAGTCCCAGTCCACAGGCAGCCACCGAGATCCAAAGGAGGGAAAACACTATGTGGAACTTTAGTTGGAGGAGTTCTGGGATGGGGCTGCAGAAGGGGCTCTGTCAGCCATGTATCCACAGAAGAGAAGTGCCAGAATATTTATAGGAGTGGGAAGTTGGGTCAGCACCTGGAGTGGCACACCTGCGCTACTGCACAACAGTGAAAGTCATTACGGAGGAGGAGACTACACACAGTAGCAATAATTACTTTCAGCTTGAGTGATATCAAAAGGAGAGCCTTGATAAATGAGGAAATCTCATAGAATTCATTTCTCTCCTTGCAATAATCCTCTGTAATTACGGATAAATGCCAGATTTGCTACAACACTGCGCATTAAAATATTCTCCATTGCACAAACGGATAGAGGTTCAAATCTCACTTAGGAGAATAAAACACTGTTAACGTGCTTACTGTAGCATTAGCGGCTCAGAATCATTTGCCTCTGGTTGTCAGCTGCATCTACAGCTCAACACTGGAACATGCGACTTTTAAACTCTTCAAACGGCTTGTCCCATTTTGACACTGGGTTGTGGCCAGCATAATGGAACCCTAAACCTGACAGAAACCTTTGCGGGCTGCTATATAGAAACATTTAGCGTAACTAAAAATAATATTTATTTGCAACAAGAAGCATTTCGTTAAAGCGCTTATTTAAAAGCCTCAATGAGCTCTGCAAAAAGTGGTGCTAGAGTTTGGAAACATACCACAGAAAGAGGGTGAGGTAGAAACTGGAAAGCTCTTTGAAGTGATGCAGTATCCCAGTCCTAGGGGACGCGGATTAAAAATGATTCATAAAAGACTTTTGCTAAGACACTGGAAACCGTGGAACACCCCGGAGGAGTGGTGGGTCCAGCAAAGTTAATCACATTGAGAAAGAGCCCCATGTGAGTACACCACTGCTTATCCCAAATAATCACTAGGCTGGGGCAATCCATGCGTTGCTTGTTCCTCTGCACAGGGCTAATCTCAGCTCTATCAGTTATTTACTTAAAGTACAATCTAGATATTTTCACTGTGGTTTAATCGGTTCCCAAGGTTTTTGCTGGCACAGTGAAAAGGGGTGAATATCATCTCTGCACATGCAGTGGGGTGAGAATCTGTGCAGTCCTTCTCACGGGGACTTGCACAGGGAAAAGGCAATGGTCAAGCTAGTAGCCCATGACCTTTTCAGCAGACTCAGACTAATGATGAAACTGATGAAAAGTTTGAAATTCTGAAAATATCTGATGCCAGATGTGTCAAAGGAAAACATGGGATTATCCTAACACAACTCTACGTGCAAAACTATACAAGACAAAAGAAATGTCTTTCATGTGCCAGTTGCTGACCAGATAATTCTGGGAGCCAAAGAACTGCTGTATCTAGGCAGTCTACCTCAGGTAGTCCAGATACAAACACTCTTCATTATTTATATATTATGTAGTATATATATACACATATATAGTTTCACTTCTGCACCCCTATGCATACAATTAAATCTCTTCACCCAGAAGATCCTCGCAGAATCAATATGATTATGTTTCATCACAGTTAATTCATTTTTCCTCTTTTGTGCAGAAACTGCAGAATCCTCCCAACTTTGCAGCTTTACTTAAAAACTCTTGAACAAACTGTTGTCCTGATTCTTTCCATTAGAGCTATATAACCAGACAAAGAGTCACAGAATATTTTATAGGCAGATGCGAACAAGCTCTGCCATGCTCTAAGCTGAAAGGACACAAAGTAGGGCAGCTGCACTTAGAACAGCACCAAGATCAATCCAAGAAAGCCATCAGAGCAGCAAAGTGTGCTAACTTGGTTTTGAAACCAGGCTGCTGAAAATATAAAGCTTCCAGGCAGCTTGGAGCACAGGCAGTGATCTTGCTAGGGACACGGACATACCCCATGTCACAGAAGATACAAAAGGGAGGAGACTCTTACGCCTGCCTAGCCTGTTCAATGGGATCATAGTTGTCGAGGTAGTTGAATCGGATGGTGTCCGTAGGATGTCTGTCTGATGAACGCCATGGGGGGAACTCTCTTTTCTCCTTGTCTCTCCTCTTTCCTAGTGCAGAAGCTGATCGTAAAGTTGACGAAAGAGAAAGTTTTGCCTCTGGGACATTGCTCCTTACTGGTTGCACATCAATAACTACAAACTCATCCTTTAGAGGGGTCTAATAAGAAAGAGAAAGAGAAGAAAATACATTTTAGTCTATAACGAAAATGGGATTGATGTTACCTAACTTTAGTCTTCAAAGAATTGGATATTTAACTCGAAATTAGTTTCTCCAGGCTCCATTACAGTTAGCGGACAGAAATAGGCACCCTGACAGTGCAATTCGTTGCCCGTGTCCCAGCCACTACATTAAGGTGGTTTGAGCTGCTTTCTGTATATATTGGCTTCTCTCCACTGACTACAGAGCGAGCCTGCAGGGATTGGTTAGAATTAGAGGTATGGATTTTAAATGTCTAACGGAGGTCAGAAAAACCCCACCTTTACAGGCCCCAAACCAGGCATCAGCGTCAATGAATCTCAAAAGAAAGTAATGACTACGGAGTGATGCTCCACACCCAGAAATGGCCTTTCCAGTTTGAAGAAGACAGAAAGAGACAAAACCAAGGGCTATAACAGGCCAACCGCGTGCTTGCTTCTCCTTCCACAAGCAAGACTGACTCTGAAACTTCAGCAGGGTGATGTTTCTGCTTATCAGAGGATCCAATAGATGGAGGCAGGCTATCATATGCTATGTCAGCTGGGGAAGAAGAGAGGGGAACAGCCTTGAGTGCTGGAGCGGGAAATTTAGAGAATTACTCCAGAAGACGTGAGGTAGGAGAGGGAGACCTCGAGATGGCTTCTCTCCTAACCAGTAAGGTTTTCACTTCTCCCCTACGAAGGATGGATGAAAGGGAAGCAGAGCTCATGGCAACACGTGATTTTAGATTCTGATTTAAAATTATATATTTCCTATTTTACTAGTTTGAGATCACAGAAAGACAAAGAGATAAAGGGCTTATAAACCCTACCAGCCCAGAGTTTTCCCACGGGCATCAAAGATCTCCAGAGGTGGTAAGCTATATACCTTTGGTCTTGTAACACGCAGCTCTTTCACCATCTCAATGTAATGTTTCTTCCAGATTCCTTGCTCAAAAGGGGTTGGAGAGAAGTTGATGTACCAGCCAAAACGCAGGCACTTCAGCATCCAGAGCTGATCCAGTTCAGACAGGTACTTCCAGTGCCAGCTTACCTATGGATGCCCAGTAAACTAGGTATAAGAGTAGAGCAAAATCTTGGGGTTTCAAGCATCCAAAATGATAACAATGGGCTAGGGACCATGTCCTGTCGATGCAGCTCCCCTCTGTGCCTACAAATAGTACAAATTTTCAGCACTGTTTATGCGCCATTAGAACCCAAATTCAAGGTCTCCATGAGCAGTGATCAGTGCATAAAAGTTGGCTAATCTCCAGAGCAAAGTGAATCCCTCCAAAAACTACTGTCCTAGAGGACAGATTCCAGTCTGTTTGAAGCAACTCCCTCATTTCTACTCAGTGAGCATACAGCAGCCTGAAAAAAACCTTTCTTAGTTACCACTGAGAAAACCAGCAATAATAAACCCCCCCAACTCTGATAGACCCATTCTCAATGTTTTCTCCACCTTCACGTTTGCCTTTATACTCCGTCATGCAGCCACCTTGCATGCAATGCTTCTCCCAGCCTAAGGGCAAACACTATTATTTGCATAGCCATGCTTATAAAAGCAGCTATCCAACAATACACAAGCAGCACTGTAAAGACCTTTCTGTCTAAGTAAGTCGTTTCCTAGCCTGTCTTCTCCTGCCTGTGAATGAACAGAGTGAGTTGCATCTACACAAAACATGAGGTGCTGGAGAAAGATACTACAGCAAGCTTTAAATAAGCTGAGATTTTGATATATTAGTACTATTATCTGGAGTACTACGTTACCGCGGTGATAATGTCACCACTACCTGAACTTACTCATTCAGAACTACTTCAGGTATCGCCTCACAGCTCCTTATGCCATGCAAACATACCTTCAGAGCCTTAGCAGATCAAATCCCTAGCCACTACATTCAAAAGCACATCTATAACTTCTTTGCTTCCCCACATCCAACACTTTACCTTCAAGCATTTTAAAGGATCTGGCTTCCGCTGCTGTTTTTCTTAAAGCATCTCATCCAGTTCTTTGCCACCAACACGGGCCAATACTTTCCAAAGCAATTAACGCTTTTGCATACAGTGCAAGGCCCTTTAAAAGAGCATGATTTTCAGAAAGAGCCAGGCCTCCTCCTTCGGAACAATCAGTCTTGAGCCTTGGAAGGTGCCACGAGTTAAAAGCCTTAGAGCTGAGCATGCAAAATTACTCTTCACTTCTGTAAGTCTTGGTCACTCTGACTTAACTCAGGATCTGTGTACGTGTGGTATTCAGTATCATGCAAGTGTCGCTAAGCATCCTGCACCAGGCTGCCAGTCCTGAAGACATTCTAGTTTTACAAAGAGTAGCAGTGGTACAATTGTACTATAAGCTACTGCTGTTTCCTTACAGTTCCTTTTTTGAACTAGCTTGACCTGACCTTGTGACCCTTAGATACATGTTTGCTTTTTCACCTGCGCACATCGACAGAGGCTCCGTGGATCCAGGAAGGAAAAGATGTATAAAGAGAGCACTCGAGGGAGCTGCGTGGTAAAATCTAGCGCTTCGGTGGGAACTCGGTCCTGTAGGTGCTTGGCGCAGAACTTCTGCTGCGACAGGGAGCAGCGCTCCAACAAGTCCCCCAGAATCCTCCGCCTCTGAGCATCTGTCCACTTGTCAAACTGAAAAAAGGAGTTTCAGCCTCTGAGAAGCCTGAGATTCAGCTTGTTAAAATAAAGTACACATTTAAAGTAAGGCAAAGTGCATAAGCAGCAGCTTCTGATGACTCATTCTAGAGCCAAACAAGCACGTAGGAACTAGGAACAAATGGAGATGCTACATTAAAAGAAATACTGAAGCCATGTAACATATGATTTACAACCCTCAAAGGATCCAGGATGGCCTAGTCTGGGAAACACTCATGCCCGCAAGACTACTCCTGGGATTAGTTCTGAGACTTGGCTTCCCTCACGGACAGAAAGAAACTCAAATGTGTGGTTGTAGCATCAGGTCCTAAATCAGAATGAGCTCGCTACTGCTTCCTTCTCTATCCTGACACTTACGGCCCCCATTACTGCAGTATCTGAGTGCCTCACAATCTGTGATGAATTTATTCTCACAATCCCACTACATAGGAGAGAAATATTATCCCCATTTCCTTCTATAGAAGTGGAGCAAAGAGAGACTAAGGCAGCTGCTCAAGGCACCCAAGGAAAATCTGTGGCACAGCGGGGAATCTACCTCATCAGACAGCATGGTAACTGTAATTTTTCACAGCATTCCTATACTTGTGACAGACATCTAAAGAGGAGGATTAAAGCATTTGGACCTCACTGTGGGCAGAAATGAGCACTTAGGTAACCACACAAGCATGTGTCTCCTGCTACAATGGCAACAACACTACTGCATGGAGCAGAACGAGGCAGAGCTGCGTAAACAGGGTGGGAGCCATGGTGGCAGTGCCTGCTGTTTAACGCGTGTTGTGACCTCATCACTGCAGTCTGGGCAATCTGTCTCAAAACCTGCAAGAGCAGTCCTGGCTGTGAGGGCAGCGCAGAGTGCCAGCTGGGAGGACATAGCAGAGGACCATTTCATCTGCAGTCAGGAGCAACAGGAATCCCCAGCGGGAGCTGCAGCTGCCAGAAGCAGAGTTAAAGATGGCCTTCCAAAACCGAAAGGCAGATTTGGGTGAAGTCCCGCTTCATCCTGCTTCCTCGTACAGCAAGAACAGCACCTACCTCAACTCACCTTCCTTGCAAAAGGAAAGTGCCTGAACACTTTTGGCTTGTTTGGGAAATCCTGCTTTCCCCTGTTTGTTTCTCTCATGCACTGGCCATACCCATAACACACGCTCTTCTTTCATAGGATTATTTTCAGACGCCAGCTTTCCACCACTGATAGCACGCTTTCCACAGGTCAAATCACAGCACATTTATTTCTGCATTTAACCTCGGGGGTGTTTGAACTTCTTATTTAAAGGTGACTTCCAAAAACTAAAAATAGGAGGAAAAATTCACAACAGTTCAGTTGAGTGTACAGTTCTTCCAACATTTAGTTTTTTATTGAGGACAAATGGTTTAATGTCCATTGTCCTCTCCTCTCCTCTTCTCTTCTCTCCCCTCCTCTCCTTTCAGCACAACAGAATAGAAATTCAGACCTCTTTTTCTCTATTTCCCAAAAAGATTCTATGGTCTAACATATACTGTGCAGATGAAAGGTAATTGAGAAGAAAGTAATTTAATTCCAGGTCATTTTAAACAACTCTTTGTTTCTTTTTACGTTGATGTATTTAATTCCAGTACCCGAGAATAAATTATAAGAGCTAAATAACTCTCCTCCTTCTTGCAGACAACTCTGCAAGACC